GTGCACAATAGTGACAAGGCACTACGCAACCTAAAAGGCCGACCTACCCGGGCTCAAGCCTACCTGCACGAGCTTCTCCTCGGTCAAGTAGTCCGAGCAAAGGAAGCCTACCGATGCCCAGGACAGCATCGTTTTCTGAATCTCCGGGTCCAGCTCGACCCCGGGGTCCTGGATGGCGCCCCTCCAAGCAGTGGGAAAGGGCTACCCCTCGGGGTTACGGACCACAAAGTAGTCCCACTTCCAGGCGGGAATCTTATTCGGTAGCTCGTACAAGAGCTTATAGCCATGACGAGGAGAGAGGTAATAAAAGTGCCTCTTCGGAGGAACCCCAGGAGCAGCGTTCTTTGTATACAAAGGATAGAGACAAAAATATCAAGGTCAAAAGGAAGGCAGTACTCGTGACACAGGGATATAGTCCCAACCGTGTTTCGAATGGCGTTGGGATGAAGCTGGTCAATAGTGACGTTGAAGTGATTTAACACCTCCACTATCAAGGGGTGCAGGGGGAGACGCAAGCCGGCCTCGAGTTGTCCCTGAAAGATTACTATGTCATCGGGGCCGTGCTCCCAAGGGAAGTTACCAGTAGGGAGGCTGTAAACCAGGTCCCCAGGGAGGCGAAAGTAGCGGATCAGAGAGACCTGAGTCTCTCCGCTGTCATTAAGGAAGGGCCAAAGGTATCAGGCTCCCTCCCCCTAGAAGTAGACGTCATGTCACCAGAGGCTTCCCGAGCTTCCGGGATCTGCTCCCAGGCACCCTCCGAGCTCGAGGGAGCATCATCATCCTGGCTATTGCCCCTGTGATAGGTGTGATATGGATACCCAGACATGGCTGACAGCAGGTGGGACTCACCAGAGTAGACGAAACGAAGCAAACTGAGGAACTCGGGTAGACTAGGTGAAGTGCGCAACCTCAGAATCCAAAGACAGCAAAATGGCGTGGGAGAAAGTAGAGCCCGAGGGGGCCCCCTATTTATAGTCTCCACCCTTTCAAATTGATGGCCCATATCAAAGCAGATCCAACGGTCCGCGGGTGCCCTGACCGCACGCCTTCTGAAAATCAAAGGCGATTGGCGGCACGTCTTCCGTAGTTAAGGTAGTCGCAGCCACACGACGTTCGGAGTTAAAGGCCACCTCAACACGTTTTTGGAATCCGAAAAGTCAGGAAAGTCAGAAAATCTCTTGATTCCCGCAAATGCATTTAATAAGGACAATCAATCAAGTTTGAATTTCGGTCAAATCACTCCATCGCACTTCATAAACTCCCCACGCTAAGGCGGTACTCTTAGCTCGAGGAGTGGGGGGCAATTGATGAGGGATGATTTGACCCAACCTATGAAACGGTGACACGTAGGCACCAACTTAGCATGAGCGACCGCCTAGCACTGAAGCCAGGAGCGACCAAGTGACGGGCCCACGAAGCAGTCCGATACGTTACAGCTCATGAGGGGAGGAGTCCGCCGCAGGGCGTACTCCGAGTTCCCCGTGCTATATTGGAAGAGATACCCCGAGGCAACTGTAGCTCGCGAGCTAAAGTTATTAGCTCGCCTGAGCTCCCTAACAAAAGTCATTCCGATGACCAATTTCACTAAGGTTATCTTGGTGTATCCCAAGCTCGCTACGAGATAGCTCGCGAATGAGCCGCGCTAGCGCCCTCCAGGAAGCTTCCGACCGACAGACCGTACCGGTCAGACTGCGCCATATCCTCTACTGACGGCGTAGTCCCAGTCCTTCCGACAGTTTGCATCCACGTCTCTCAACAGGCAAAGGCGTCCTGGCACTTTGGAAATGTGTCACTCACCCGGGCGAAGCGTACACCACAACGGCCACCTGCGCAGCCCTGGCTGGTAACGGCTGTGGCAGGAGCCCAGTGGCGGTTATGCCCGACCTAATGTGAGTGTCCCTATAAAAGCCCTCAGGGCAGAAGGAAAACTTCTACTAAAATCTTCGACCTCCTGAACATAGTGATAACGCACTATTCTCACTCTTAGCCTTCGTTCTCCTTTCACTTCTTGCACACAGTACTAACTTAAGCATCGGAGCGTTCCCGTCGGGAAACCCTTCAGGAGTTCTTCCTTTTTCTTCTCATCTCAGGTACCTCTCAGGAGCTACGTGAGTTTCAGTTAGGAGTGACCGGACCGTGCTACATCAATTTTGATTGAAAACACTTGATTTTATTAGCATATAAACAATTTATTATTTTATTATCACTTTCATTAAGATTATAGTAAAAAACAAAGTTCTAAATTGTCATTTAACATATCGATAATTATAACGTCAGTATAATCGGGTCTAATTGGATCGAACCCTATTAAGAATTATCATGGTTTTGGCTAGACTATGGTTTTTGTTTTGATTAATAATCAGTTTGGGATTAATACACCTTACCCTAAACCAAACCCAACTCGTAGACAACCCTAGTGTGTGAAAAAAAAAAAAGAAGTGGTTGCGGGACATAACACTTTTTATGGGTTCAAGGATAGGCTGTAAACAATGTGTGAACCAGTCTACCCACCTGATCAATCATGGATGAATACATCAGTGTGGGGGTGTTATGTCCTGTCCGAATCAGGTAGGCACAGCGTTATAAGCACATTGAATGGGCACTTAGAAAAAATTTTGACACCTGTCCCTTAAAATACCCCCAGCCTACCATTGAAAAAGATTAAAAAACACTTTTAATATTTATTAAAATATTTCTTATGTGCTCATTGAACTTGTTTATTATATCGTGCCTATTGGATCCAGTCCATGTTCAGCTATTCCTGTCCCTCATTGCATAATATCCATGTTCAATTTCTATAAGAAATGACTTTGACAGAATCTCTTAAGGGTTTAGTTTTCTCTTACATAAATCCCAATGTACAATTAATTAGAAGTTGTATCTCAAATTCGCAAACCTATAATCTAAAAAAAAAAAAAAAAAAATCTCAAACCCGAGCTTGTGTTTGATTTGATAAAAAATAAGAGAGGAACCGAAAGTTGACAGAAAGTTCTTTAGGCTGTGTTTGGTTGCAGTGCGAATTTACTTGGACTAGTACAAATGCATGAGAGTGCAAACGTAAAAAAAATGCAATTTCTTGTTTAATTTTGTTTTTGATTTTACTTTATTCTGTTTCATGTCTTAATTTATTTCATTTTTACTGCAATCAAGCAAATTTAAGCTAAAATTTAAAACAATAATAGGTCAGAATATTGCATCAATACAAATTTATTTGCATTGCAACGAAACACAGCCTCAGTAATATATGTCATAAATTTTGTTAAGAGCTTTTCCACACCTTTTAGCTTTCTCTCTTATTTTCTATCAAACCAAATGTAACCTATAGAGGAAAGTTAGCCCATAAAGAATCATATTAAAACGGAGGGGTGTGAATGCAGTAAGGTATGTGGGGAAGACTCAAAAGATAGATGCAAGTAAGGAAACATTTTCATGGAATACAATCGACATCACATATATAATTGATTGTAAGAACGAATCCATCCTATTACCCCCACCCCAAAATAATAATAATAATAATAATAATAATAATAATAATAATAATAATAATAATAATAATTCGTCCTAAATCATAGCTTAGGGAAACTAAGGAAAAGAAAAACCCATTTTCGTGGTAGATCTGGATTTATGCATCGTTTGCATATTTCATTTTCATTTTCTTCAACAAATTGGTCTATTTTTATAGTGGAGTGTCCTCCCTCTGTTTTTCCTTTTCAGACAGGGTCGTTTTGTTTCAGCCTTGTTGCTGAGTGGTTTATCTTGCATTCTACTCTGAGCATTCCGTTTCATTAAGAAAAAAGAAAGGAAAACAGAACATTTGTAATAAAGACCAAAAGCAAAATTCATCAGCACAATTATTGTCACTTCTATTTGTAATGTTTTAGGTTGATCAATATAAATTTTTGAAAAATGATAATATTGCATCGCATCACATACTACTTCAACTAAAAATAAAACATAAGCATTCAATTTAGTGCTTATGTTTATGGTAGAAAAATCAAATTTGAAATTTTCTGAAGAAACACCAATGATGCCAAACATTATATCGATAACTCAAAGCATTTGTGGCAGAAAAAAAAAAAAATTCTCATAAAATTTGTACTAGCTAACCTAAAACATTGTAAGTAGAAGTGGCATAATACCAAATACAACCGTAGTTGATACAACGCATGAAAGAAAAACTCAAATTCATGGGGTTAGGTCAGGCTCCAATTTGTTGTCTAAGGCTCAATTTGGAAAGAATATAAATACAAATATATAGAATACAAAACCTTATATTTTGTATATATTCGTATTTGTACTCTTTCGAAACTAAGTATAAGGCTCAATTTAGAAGGAATACAAATACAAATATGTATGGTGCAAATATATACAAAATAATATAAAATACAAGGTTTTGCACTCTACATATTTGTATTTGTACTCCTTCTAAACTGAGCCTAAAGCTCAATTTAAAAGGAGTATAAATACAAATATGTAGACTGCATTTTGTATTATTTTGTATATATTTATACTATATATATTTGTATTTGTATTTATGGTTCAAAGTATTGATACACTTATACATATTGGCAAAGGCGTATTGATACTTAAATACACACAGAATTAAATTATTTTTTAGTTTTTTTTCAAATTTTAATTTTTGGGGAATTAAAAAAAGATAGGGTCTTTTGGAACCCAAAAGATACGATGCAATATCAGGCGTACCGTATCGATTTTTTGAACCTTGTTTGTATTCTTTGCAAACAGAGCCTAAGGCCCAGCCCATACAAAAAACTTAGATTCGTGGGATTCGAGTTGGCCCCGCCCCAGTTTCATCCTTACTTGGGGTTAGCTCCTGAACTTTCATTTGCAACAAATACCGCTGGATGTTCATTTAATTTGCCCTTGCCGTTAGAATTCCGTTAGTTAAATTCAGAAAAGATGCTCATGCCGCCTGCTCAAGTGATTATCATATTTTTACTTTTTCACATCAGGAATATCTCCGTACATGTACGGATTTATAAGGAGATGTCCGCGATGTACGGATGGATGCCATGCTTGCGTAGTTGCGTAGCGTATGCAGAGTTTTTTGGGCAGGAGATCCCGTCGGCCGTCAGTCAACTCCGATCCGGTTTCGGACCATTGCTCTAGCAGACACCACAGTACCACACAAGCCCAGCAAGAGGTTTGTTCTTGTCTTGTAACCTGTTAAGGGGTCCGAGTTGAAACAGCCATGGCGTTGAGAATGACTTCGAGGAATACGGGGAGTATGCTCTCCTTCGTGCTCTCTCGAATTTCTCTTCTGCACTCTCATGCCACCAGCTTTGGTACGTATTCTCTTTTTCCTCGTGTTCTCTCTCGCCTTAAAAGAAATGTCTGTGAAACCAATTTATTCTTCTGTTTCTTTTCCGTTTTCTGTAGAATGTAGATGTAATCAGATTTGTCTCCTCTCAGAAATGCTTCACAGATGTATATAAGAATATATTTTTCGGATCGAGCGGCCAAAATTTCAATTTGGTGTATTCAATATTTGAAGGATCTGTTAAGTGAATCAGTTGTCTATTCCCGATAACATTACGAAGACTTTGTTCTCCTGGTCGTTGTATTAGAAACATTTTTTCCTTTTGCTTCCAAGGTTTTATCTTTTTTTTTTTTTTTTCAAATATTTGGGGCTTCTAAAGGACGCCTATTTCTTTGTTTTCTCTTTTCTGTATATATGGTGATTGTCACGTGTTTAGTTTCGATAACTTTCTATTTTGGATTGAAAATGCCAGAACAATAAACAGAAATTAGACACGCTCTGCATTTGAATTTTGTATCTACTGCTAATTTGATCAAATTCAAATGCTAAGAGGAGAGACCGACCATGGTTTAGAGTCTCAAGTAAGGGGAAAGAGGATTTAAGTTTTCTTTCTTTGTTAACTTTATGGTGTATGGACGTGATCTGAATTCATTTCAAATTTCTAAGGTTGATAAAAATAGACAAGTGCGTTAGAGTTAGGCAAACCTTGGTCATATGAAAGATCAGGAACCCATATTTTATCAACATGGTTTTGTGACATAGCTCAAACTTTTGTCCTTTCTAAATTCTGACGGAAAGAATAACCAAGTTTCTTAGTTTTTCATGAGAGTAATAATGTACCATGTAACATAACGGCTTGTAGTGAATCTCTGATTGTTATCTTGATTAGTGTAGTTGAATTTGAATAGAGAAATTGTTGAAGACTTTATGCAACTTACCCCATTTTATTGGAATAAAAATGCTTCTTAACTATTTTTTTTTCCTTTGCCCCCTTATTTCATATTCTTTGTGGGGTACGAAGAATTTTTTTTTCTTGGTTGGGCTTATTGGATAAAGTTGATTTTACATGGTGCAGAAATATATATCTTTGAGCAATACCTAATAGAAGAAAACATATTAATCCACACATACCTCTTAAGATAGAAATGAATGTTTTTATTGAGATGGTAAACACACTCCCACAAGTAAATGTAAGCGTGTTTTCTTTTTTATTTTAATTTTTTTTGGTAACAAGATAAATTAAATGTGTGTTTCCTATTACTTGATGCACTTCTTCTAAAATGTTTGATCTATGTTTCATGCAACAAGCGCTTTATGCTTATAGATGAGAATACGAGACTTATGCCCCTTTGATTAAGGGTATTATCTGAAAGCATTGGGCGTTGCTTCTTATCCATAAATGTTAAAGTTAGTTTCTATTTTAACTTTCTGAAAATCAGTCTGTTCCTTAAAACTTTTATCACATAGTAACTAAACTGAGTTATCTTTTGCAGGATTCAAGGAGGTAAAGGAAGAAGAAAAGAGTAAATTGGTCGGTAATGTTTTCAGCAGTGTTGCTCAAAACTATGATCTGATGAATGATTTAATGAGTGCTGGATTACATAGATTATGGAAAGATAGGTTAGATCCTTTATGAAGCACCTGGATATGCATCATAAGTTCTTAATTTATAGTGGTGTATCCATTAGTTTGTTTGCATATTTTTATATTTCTTTCTTAATTTTTTTTCCAGGTTGGTTTCCAAACTCAGTCCATTTCCTGGAATTAAGCATCTAGATGTTGCTGGTGGGACAGGTTAGCGTTGTGCAGCCATTTAGGCAGACAATTAATAGATTTATGCAAAGGCTACAAAGAACATGCAGAGGAAAAAACTATTCTTTGGGTTGTAGTGAAACAAAACATTGAACAAATTCTCAATTACCTTCCTAAAGTAACTCATGGGTTGTGGTGCTGTCAATCCCACAATCTCTTTTGTTCAACCCACAATTATGTGGGTGTTCATAAATTATTCATGTTTACATAATGGCAATCTGGATATTTTAAACGCTATAGGAGTTTTTAGAAAATTCACCCCTCTACACAACCACTTGCTTTGGCCTTGGCTTTCTCAATGCATATGGCTCCATCTTATTTTTTATCAAAATAACCCAGTGTTGCTAATGTGCTTAGATAAAACTTGATGCATTGTCATCCCAAATATCTGATCTATCCTTGGCCCAAACTTCTCAATTTCGTTTGGAAATAATGTGAAATCTATTGGAGTATGATAGAAATTAAATATAGTTCAAGACATTTCAGCACTATTGAACATTAAAGAAAAAGAAGATAGGAAATTAAGTTTTGGTCTTTCTACAGGCAAAAATTGATGCTCTGAATCTTGCTTATACTCCTGAAAATTACCCCAGAGTTTCTTTCTAATTATTTCTTTATGATTTTGCAGGGGATGTTGCATTCAGGATTATTGACACTATTAACAGTGCCACTAGAACAACCATTCAGGATGGTCTTGAAGATGAACAACAGAATGAAACTCGAGTTTATGTATGTGACATCAATCCAAACATGCTTAATGTTGGAAAAAAGAGGGCTATAGAGAGAGGTAAAATACAACAAATTATCTCAAATGTCAATTTTTCATTCCTGTATGACCTGTTCTTGAATAAGACTGAGATTCATATCCCTATGTATCCAGGGCTTGGAGAAGACCCGTCCCTTGTATGGGTGGAAGGAAATGCAGAAGCCTTGAATTTTAAAGATGATTCAATGGATGGTTATACAATTGCTTTTGGGATTAGGAATGTCACACACATAGATAAAGCTCTTGCTGAAGCATACAGGTAAGCCCTGGTATCATTTCTATTTAAACTGTAGACCAGTAATGCAGTAATTGCTGAAATGGATAGGTAGTCCTGCAGTATGCACCAACACTGATAAAAATAGATTCTGGGGTTCCTGACACCACACAAAAGGTGATAAGTGAGATGACCACATGAGAGAAGGGGATAGCTGATTTCTTGAGAAGAGAAAAGTCTACATCTTCCCTACCTAATGTTAACTTGTAACACATGTAAGAAGAGAAAGGACCCACAAATGGATAGTTCTGACCTATGAGATGCCATGGGTTATGAAGGAATTGATAGCCATATATTTTCTGACAGTCCATAAATATGGGACAGATTAAATACTTCTCATTTGGTTTTGTTGCCTCTTTTTTAATCCACATCCTAGGAGAGATCCATCTTGTGTGTTTCCTAGTAGTCCATCATGATCCCTTGTCAGTGATAGCATTGTTACCATTACAATGGCTAGCTTTCTTCTTTTTCCTTTTTTACTTATATTGGACCATGACAAGTATATTCTCTCACCATCCAAATGAATCAATGGCTATGTTCTATTGGGTTGGCATTCAAACCAGAGACCTTAGATGAGGCTAGTTTAGTGATCATTCCCAATACTCCTGCATGCACATTGTGCCTATGGTATGGGTATGGAATATGATATCTCTTCGGCCTCGTTCGCTTTTCGGAAAGTTATTTACCTGGGTAGTATTTCTCAGGAAACACTTACTTGGGTAAGTGCATTTACCCATGTTCTTTTATTTCCCAGGTAAATAAGACAATGACTGTTTTAACCATAAAAATCCATTGTTAAAAGGGGCAATTTTGTCCCATCCAAGTGTTGACAACTTACCCGGGTAAGTGACACCCAGGGAAAATAAATTTTGTGGACCCCACATAAATCTGAAAAAAGAACATGGGTATCTTCGTCAATGGAAACCAAAATCCCACTGACCAACTTTCCCCCCTCTCAAAATCCAAAAAACGAACAGGCCCTTTAGAGGATATCAATGTGCATCTCTTAATAAATAGTTTAGTTGGTATTCTTATTTAGAAGTTGGAGTTAATACTTTCCAGAACCAAGGATAACATATATCAGGTATTGAGTGTGCCTGAGTAGCTAAGTCATTCCATCTAATCTTTTATAAAATTTATTTGGATGACTTTTCTTTTCTCTTTTAACAGTTACTGATGATTAAAAAACCTGTGCTTACTCCATTTGTTCTCATGTGAGTGTTGATGTCTTTGGCCTTTATTTCAGAGTACTAAAACGAGGAGGAAGATTCCTTTGCCTTGAGCTGAGTCATGTGGACATGCCTATCTTTAAAGAGTTGTAAGCATCTCTGACCTAATTGAGAGGTTAATCCTAGCATATGCAAGAACCCCAGGAATAGAGCATAAAGCAAAAATCAATTAAGCCAAGTGCTTGAGTTTCTGTGCAGTTCCATATACAAAACTGCTAATCTGGCAAATCAAGGTGGTGGACTAATGCCTCCAGTGTCCTTATTCTTTTATAAAATGTTTTTGGTGGTAGGATTAGTAATGATGCATGGGCAAGCACCCACTGGCCACATGCTTGCCTAGGTGAATTTGGTTTTTTGAATCCTCTGAAATGGGGGAAATATCTGTAATGGCCTGAGCTTGTTTTCTATAAAAATTAAAAGCTCACAAACAATTGGAACTTTTCTCCTATTCTATCTCCTTGCTTGATGGAACTTTGTAATTCTGCTGCTTTGGTATATTTTCATCTACCCTCATCACTTTAGCATTTGTTCTATTTCTTCTGCAGGTATGATTACTACTCATTTTCGTTAATTCCAGCAATAGGAGAGCTTGTTGCAGGTGATCGAGCGTCTTACCAGTACTTGGTTGAGAGCATCCGCCGGTTTCCTTCCCAGGTTAATCCTGAATTCCTCAATACATTGCATACTTCTTTACAGACATGTCCATGTCCACATGTATTATATTTTATATGATGTGCATGCTATCTATGCACATGTATTTTTGTTATTTTGTAGAATTTAAGGAACCTTGAATACCAAGTTATCTAGAATTAAGGACAGATTTTTATGAATGTCAGGCACCATTTGGGGCCTTTACCCAAAAAAGTGTGGGAACCTAGGTGGGCCATGAGCAGCAGCCAACAGAGATTGTACTCTCAATTTATTATACCTTTTATTACTCGGTGTAATGGTAAAATCTTGGGCTATCAGGCGTGAGAATGCAGGTTTGAGTCTGAGAGAGGCCACTTTGTGCAAAAAATGCCAAAGATTAGGACCGTATCCTGTCCACCCCTCTCAAGAACCCAGATTGCTGGGACCAACATTTGGGTTATGGCCTTTTTTTCCCTCCCTCATAAAGTTATGCATATGAGAACTGGTTGCATTGACTGCTCACTATGTGAGTCTCTAGAGTTAATATTGTCATCCATGGCCTTGTGCACACATTTCACAGCTGAGAAAATCTCTGCCTTATTTCAACCAGGATAATTGACCAATTCCCATTACTAGAACAGTAAAGTGGAGGTCTAGTCTGAGTTATTCTTGTCACAGATGGATGATGGGCTCACATATTTGTTCTTTCATCTTATATAATCTCTCTCTCTCTCTCTCTCTCTTTCATGGCTTTGGATTTTCTGTGAGTGCAGGCAACGTTTGCTTCAATGATTGCAGAAGCTGGGTTTCAGAAAGTTGAATATGAAAATCTTGTAGGAGGTGTTGTTGCCATCCATTCTGGATTGAAATTTTAGTGGTGTCAAGTTCTACAAAGGCTTGCCCTCTATCCGACTTGTTTATATCTGTCTGCTGATTTCCAGCACAAGAAGTTTTAGTTGACAAAGGAGTATTAATTGGTTTTCCATTTTCTAATACTTCAACTCCTGTTGACATAATAGCAATTTATTTATGTATATACCCGTTTGAATTATTTAGGTTAGACGAGTCATTATCTTGTATTTAATCCCTTGAATAATGCTCCCAGTGCTTCATTTTTTAAGCATTTATAGTTTTTTTTTTCTTTCTTATTTTTAGTTGAATCCATTAAGTTGATTCCTTCAAATAAGGTGTTAATGTCTAACCAGAAAGAAATTAATAATGGTAACTTATTCACATGATCAGTTTGGCCTTGTAGGTCTCCCTTTTTTTTTCCAAACATAGATGTGGCCTGAGTTTTCGCCCTTAGCCAATTCTTTTTTTAGCACCCTTAGCCCATTCTATGCCACAACCAAAAGTTATTACTTTCAAATGGTATGGTTCCTCCCATAAGATTTAGGGCTGGCAATCGATGGGTCCAGGATGAGAATAAATCATTAAGGTATGCGGAATACTTGATAACAGAGAAGATTTAAATATTTAATTTGAAGTTGAGTGTGCCCCTAATTTTGCAGAATTAGCAGGGCTTTGGGTGTAACAGCAGATTCCTACACTTCAAAGTCTTCAATTACCTGGTTCTTCCCTTTGGGGCTAACTAGTGGTCTAAACTCTGAAAACATACTTGAAACAATGGTAGAAGTGCTAAAGCGAGAGAGCTGTAATTTGCAATGATGGTTTAAAACAAGGCAAAATGCAAGTCATAACTAGTGGATTAAACGCTCAACTAGTGCTTTTTGTAAATGGATTGAATCTACCCAGGTATAGGGAGATCCAAATTTGATTCGTTTGTATTTGAATTCAAATTGGATCTTATCAATTGGATTTGAATGGAGTTTGGATTGCAACTGTACATTGAAATAGTATAAATTAATTAAACTAAAAATGATCAAAATATTATATATTATTGATAGAATGAACTAAAAATGACTTTGATTTATATAATTATATTTCATGAACAAACTATTATATATATTTCATTCCGAGAATATATGGAAACTATAGTCTACAAAATCCAATCCAAGTTCATGGCTAATGGAGCATAACCCATAATATGATACCTAGGCATTGATATCATGAAAACCCAAGTGTAATAAAGAAAGACATACTTGAGTCCTTTTGGGAATATTTGTTGGGCCTTGTTATACCTTAAATTTGATTATTCTTATAAAAAAGATATTTTTGATTTGATTAGAAAATCTAGAGAGTAGAGATGAATCCTGCGGCCATAGTTGTATATCAAGTCTTCTGGACTCATGGGTGAAACAGAGGCTCAGCTTAACCTCAGGATTCATACAACTATGGCCGTACAAGAAGCCACAGAAGTAACTTAGCCTCATTAGATTTTGGCCGTACAAGAAGCCTCAGTACTAAGACCAAGTCGTAGAGCGGTTCAAGAACCAGAGGCTCAGCTTAACCTCCTTGTTAGTCGTTAATTAGACAGAACTGAGAAGTTAAAAGAAGAGTAACGGTAAGACTCCTACTTTTAGATAAAATTCAGTTAACCGTTGAGACAAATCCTTGAAGCCTATACAACCCAACCCAACCCAACCCATTAACCGAGCATTAGCATTGTATGTGGAAGAGATAACTGGGAATGAAATAGAGAAATAGATTAAGCAAGAGAGCGATGGATCACAACAGCTCCGGTGGGCTCTCATGGGCTGACCAATGGGATTACAACCCCGACCCTCCACCTCCACCTCCACCGGTCACAGAGGACGACGGCAAGAAGGAGAAGGAGAAAGTTGAGACCACCGGAAGTAAATGTGAAAAGAAGAAGTGGAGTCTCAGATGGGTGAAACAGCTTTACAAGAAGCCTCAGAAGTAACTTAGCCTCATTAGATTTTGGTATAGCTCGTGGGAGGAGCTCTTTCGCGTTTTATTTGTTCTATCTCCTGGTCACATCTAATCTATATATAATAATTATAGGAGTTTTATGTATAGCTCCTTCAATTTCATTATATTTACTTGATTAATAATTGTCCAGAGTAAGGGCTCTCGGTCTCTTATCTCACCTCTAACCATTTGAACTCGACCGGCTTTTCTCTGGATTGATAGGTCACAATGTCGTGGGTTTTTGATTCATCAGAAACAAACCCAATTTTAGACAGGTTTTTTGTGTTTATAACAGAGTTGTGAAGTAGGAAGATCTCATCAACTTCCTGTTTTCAGTAATCTCATATGTTATTAGTCTCTGTAAACTATTTTGCTTATGGGAAACTCAGACTCAACTGGCTTTCATTTCGTGGCTTACTGATATGTTCCATCGATGTGGTCAGGAGAGTTTGTTAATGAAAAAAAAAAAATCTCACTCTCGTTCTTTCGTTTTTTCTAAACCAGAAAATTCGATCTTATCCTTCTGTAAACTGTAATTATATTAAGCTCAGATTCATCTTTGAAAGTTTGAATTTGAACAAGGTAAAGTTACAAAGGGTAAAAACGCTATGGATCTTAACGGCCTTCTGTTCTTTTTTGACTGAATTGATTCAGAATCCTACCAGCTGGGCCACCATTAGTTGGTGTTAAGAACATTATAACTAGGTTACCAAAAAAAAACAACATTATAACCAAATCTCAAATCAATAACAATAAATAAGGTATATATACACAAAAAAAAACATTGGGAAATGATTGTAGAATTAAAGTATGACTTAAATCAGGAAAAGTAATGGATTCTTATGATCAATTAATTATTATTTTTTTTTAATTTCCTAGTTCATCATCATCATCCATGCCTTATCCCAACTATATGGGGCCAGCTACACAAATCCTATTTCACCTATCCGATCTATTTAAAGCCATATCCATTATTAAATCTTAAGTGCTTAAAGCATTTCTTACTACTTGTATTTATGTCATTTTTTTTTCTACCCTGAGCTCTTCTAGCCCCTTCAATGTGTAACAAATCATTTCTTCTAATTGGCACATTGGTTGTCTTCTATGCACGAGCCCAAATTATTTTAGTCCACTTTCTCTCATTTTATCACCTATTGGAACTACTCCTAGGTTTCTACAAATAACTACATTCCTAATCCTATCATTTCTAGGTTTTTTCACTCATCCATCTTAGCATTCACATTTTTACCACATTCATTTTTTGGATATATTATTTCTTGATTGTTGAACACTCTGCTCCATACAATATAGATAGCCTTACAACTATTTTGTATAAATTTTGTTTTAATCTAAGTGGTTCATCTACCATGTAAAAATCTAGATGCACCCCTCCATCTTGCCCATCCTACTTTAATTTTTTGGGTGACATCCTCCTCAACCTCTCCCTCATTATGAATTGTTGAATTAAGGTATAGAAATGGTCACATTAAATTATCTCTTTGCCTCCAATCCTAAGTGTATCTTGATCTATACTCCTATTATTACTAAATTTATATGTCATATACTTTATTTTAGTCCTATTTATTTTAAAACCTTTTGTTTCTAAGACATTTGCCCATGAGCTTAATTTTGCATTTAATCTTTCGTTAGGTTCATTAATTAAAACAATGTCATCTATAAACAACATTCACCATGAAACTTCATCTTAAATATATTTAGTCAATTCATCCATGATCAATGCAAATAGATAATGGCTAAGTGTTGAACTTTGGTGAAAACCCATAGTAATTGTAAAATCTGAAGTCTCTCCCATTAGTGTTTTAACATTGGTTGTTGTACTCTCATACATATCCTTAATTAGGTTTATATATCTATTTTGAGCCCATTTCCTTTCCAAGACCCACCATACCATATTTCTAGGAACTTTATTATATGCCTTTTTTAGATCAATGAACATCATACAAAGATATTTATTCTTCTTTTTGAATTTTCTTTTATCAATTATCTCAAAAGAAATATAGTTTCCATGATTGATCTCCCAAACATAAAAACATATTAGCTATCTGATACACTTGTTTCAAGTTGTAATCAGTTCAATTATTTTCTCCCAAAGTTTTATATAACGTAGTTCATAAGTTCAATCCTCAATAGTTATTACAAGTTTGTATATATAGGTGGTAGGCATCATTTGTTGTTTCTCCAATCATCATATACCTTTTCTATTATTATGTTATGAAGTTTTTTTTAATAAGATAATAGTTTCTCCAATAAACTAAGTACTTTAGTTGATATATTAATAAGAAAAGTTGATAAAATAGATTAAAAGATTAAAACCTAAAGCATGTGTAGTATAACTTAGTGATAATACTTGTCTTCGAGTCTTGACAACTACATATAGATAGTTTAAGGTGTTAATTAATAGGTAATTCAAATCAAGGTTCTAAATATCGATACGCTCGATATGTTGGTAGGTAGGGGTGGATTCGAGCCGAGCCAAGCTGAATACTACCAAGCTCGAGCTCGGCTCGGTTCAAGCTCGATTTTGAGAAAAAATATTTTATAAAAATAAAAAAATTACATATAAAAATATTTTTTATTTGATATTTAAAAATTAAGAATTATAATAATTAATATATATATATATATATATATATATATTGTTAGACAACTTTGTGTGCCCTTAGCTCCAATCAATTTTGATGTACTTTTGACATTTAGTGTAAATGAATAAAGTGCATGTTTGATTCATGTTGTGTGGTATGTTTGAATGTAAGACCCTTAAACTGGACACTTATTGAGACTCGTGTTAGTTTAGATTGTTCACAGCCGTTGGATAAGTCTGGGGAGATTTATCCTGCCAAGGTTGACACTGGTGTGCTGCCAAATGTTGGGGTGGCCTGTCTCAGCCGCCAGGGTGAGACCCAAGACACATGTAGTGTAGGATTATTTGAATCTTTGAATCAGACCAGATTTCCAGTATTGCCCTGGATCTTGGAGATTGATGGGCAAAACTGGAAAGTTACACCTGACCCTTAGACTCGATTATGATACTGCACTAGGTGGCGGATTGGGCTGTCTTTGATATGCCAATCAGTGAGATCCTCAGAGGGGATCAAAACCTGGGTATGTTGGGATGGTTCATGAACTCATCTGAGTGGGTGATCATAGTGAGAGATCAACCCCTTTGTCGGACAAAGGTAATGATCGGGGATGCACTCTCTCTGATGGAAACCAAACTGCCGGCAGTTGATTTCAATCGTTGGAATTTTGTTTTGCAAAATTTATATATAAGATATATAGATATATACGGTTTCAAAATGTTTGCAGATGGTTTTAATTCCCGGGATCCATGTGAGCAGAGCGTGCAACACTGTTCCTTGCAGCCGAGGGAGAGGTCCTCTCTTGTCGGGCAGTGTTTGATCATTATGGGCTGAGAGGTTAAGTGTAAGAMCATYDAGGGTWATACCTGATGGGCTAATCTTGCATCTGCCCACAGTCCTTGTGTTTTTATAAGATGGCTTGGCCCAGGGACCACTTAGTGTAAGTGTTGGGCCCATAGAGTCCATGTGAT